GGAGTGTAAGACCCACTAGATGGAGTGACGATCTGTAAAACGGTGCGATAAGTCGATGGATGCGGGAGTTTCAGAAAGCAGTAGACTTGAAGCATCGACTCGTTTGTCACCCAGAAGACCGTGACATCAAATAACCTGCGCAAGTAATATATGTATCGAAATATTTCGATATAACTTAGATATTTTGATATGACTTAAATTTGTTTAAAGTCACTTAATAGAACCACAATGATATTATATACAATTGCCCTCCCCCCTTCAGCTCTTAAAATCTATCACATAAACAATGGAACTGTTGATGTTCCTAACCCCAATGATATTATATACAAACAAGAAGTAGATTAGAAGACACTAGTGCACCGAAACTGAGGCATTTCTATGTAATCTACATTGCAATTCTTTAGACTGCTATCCCTTTCCGTATCACACGTTCTGTATCATCTGTCACGATTACTTATATGAAATACTTATATTACTTATATGAATATCTGTCATGTAATGGAAACAATTTTTAAACGTCACGCAGTATGGACATGCGTCATCTATAATATTAAACATCATTACCTAACCCCAGTAATAAGAAAAAGACATTCGCCCAAAAGGAGGATAAATGACACACGTCTGCGTTTATTTTCAACCGAACGTTACGTTGTTATAGGTAAATAACGTCTTTAATATTCCAGAAACGTAACAAAAGCTTAATTGAAAAGAAAAACAGACGAAATTGGAAAAAGAAATGTGATTTTGGTAAGAACAAAAATTGAAGAGTGACGCATTATGCAAATGTAGACGAGAATGTCGTAACAGAATGTATATCGGACATACAAACAACGTGATGAAAAAATGTATAAATAAGTGAAAGCAATAGTGTAGTTTTCAAATTTTCTTTGTTTGAATTCGTACTTGCTTCTTGATAACTATCTTATCTATGACCCAAATAACACAAAAAATACACTAATATGTATATAACCCATAACGTTTTGCACCTTTAGAATTAAAAGAACCTAATTAAGAAAATCATGATTTTGACTTTATGTCAGGAAACGACAAAACGAGTACCTTTTTCGGCTCAAACAAGGGCCGATTTTAGAAACTTACATGACGTATATACTTCGGTCTCTTTCAGTCCCCTCCGATTACCGCGTTTGTTTGTGTACAAATCTTTATTTTACGTTTACCAAAAATTGATATTTTTTAAATAGGTCACTATAATTCTAAGTTTGTTTTTCTTGTAGTGTATCTCACATGTTTGTGCTTGATATCTCAACTGTGACTTGATATGTCACTGTTGAAAAATATTTGCTTACACTAAAATATAACTTCAGCAACTTGCCACGATTTACTCCAACTTTCAGTTAATCAAAGTGAAGAACATCGCAAACCATTCTGTTTGTCAAGAGTTAGACGGTCTAATGGTAGTTAGAGACCTACAAAATTAATTCTATACAAACGTACAAAACTTAAGGCAATTTAATATTTATGAAAGCATCGAGTTATTATACAGGCTTGTCCTTACTGCCTATTTCGTACGTTAGCGGCCCTGAGACCTTAATGGTGCAGCGGTGGAAAACCCCAAAGACGGGCTTATCAAGGTTCAATTCTTGCAATAAAATCAAATTGTTATTAGGTTTATGTAGTGTTTAGTAGTGGTATATATGTAAAATAAGGGACCTGACAGCTGATCTACTTTGATATGACATTTACGACGAAATACACGTTGAATATTTAATAACACTTTAGAAATCTAAAACTATGTATTTCTGTAATTTAGTGTAAAAAAAATAAATTTAATTATGATCTTTCTCAACAGCCTGATGGGAAAACCAATAAATTAAAATGTTTATTTATGATTATTAGCTCTTAATATTTCTAAATGTAAATTTTTGAATTGAATGATTTCGTTATATTTTACTTACATTTGAATATTTGTACATGTCTACAGGTCCTGCAAATTTAACGCTTCAATAGTAAAAAGAATTAACGAGTGTATATCACAGCAACTGCTCTTAAATAGCCACTAACTATTATTAAACTATCATTCAAATTCTAAAGAAATTCTCTTTTTTTTTAAAAAAGGAACCTTTAATTTTAATTACCTCTAAATAGTTTTTATGTTATATTTAATTTAACATTATTCATATTTTATATATGATTACAGTAACACTTTCTTTGATAACGAATACATCGTTTTATATGGTTTTGTATTATATAATAAACTATAATTTTGTATGTATTCACCATCATGCCATTCGTATGTATGAATATTTTCCCCAATCACTGAACCAAACAAAAAAACAAACTTAAGGTGGCCAAAAAAAAAGTTATTGATTGTTGTGGGATACATTTTTGAAGAACGATAACGCAGTTGTGCGTGTGGGTTAACCATATAGTCAATATAATCATCCTGTCACGGAATTAGTTGCGTGTATTGAAAAAGAACACTGTTTGCTATTATAACAGATAATTTAAGAAAACGATGACATTAAGCATTTAAGGTCATACTAAATTAGATAACGAAATTGTGCTAGTTGATTAGTAGGCGAGTTCAAATCTCAGCGGTGTTCGTAATTTTTTTTTATCGGCAAACGTAGTTAGTTATTAAGCAACAAATATTGTCATCGTATAGTGATAACCTAATGTAAAAGTTCTAGTACCTGGAGGAGCTTTGCTCGCTTTGTTTTTTTGGTAAATCATTTATTTTAGAAACAAATTACTGAGTAATGAAATATGTATGACATTTTTAGATCTTACCGACGTAATAATAAGAAAATATGAACTGGTGTTTTTCACAAAAGAAAGAACTTTAAAAAAACGGAAAAAAAATCATCTGGATCGACAAAAATAAAAAATAAAGAAAGCAATAATCAGGAATCGAAAGAAAAGTAAAAAAAATAAGTGTGTAATGATCGTCTGTTTTGGGGCCGCCCGATTACCGACCGAGCTATTATAACATTTTTTTTTGCGGTGAAATTTAATAATAATTTTGTCGTTTTCGAATGATATTTTTCATTCCCTGAAAACAGGGATAAAAGGACATTTTCTAAAAAAAATTGTCTAAAAGATTTGTCGCCCCCGAATCTACGTACATACTAAATTTTATGAAAGATTATATACAGCGTGTCGATTACCATCGCGACTGTATATACAAGAATTGTTCGTTTAAAGGTATAAGATAAAACGGGTGTCAAATGTCACTTTACAGTGTGTGTAAATGTGTTCAGCGGTGAAGGAAAAATGTTGAGGAATCCTGCATGTTTTCGAAATAATAAAAAAATAATATCTCGAAAATGTGTGTGAAGTCCGCGAATCCACAGTGGAGGCGCCTGTTGGACCTTTATAGTAAGGAGACCTTTGCCCAGATGTGGGACATATATATGGTATTACTTTACTTTAAACTATACAAATAAAAACCACATTTTCGCTGTAGCATTAAACACGCTCTTCTTTATTTTTTTATAAATTTAAAACTGTCATAGGTACTAAACAAACTGTAGGTACAACCATTTGGGTCATATTTGAATCATTTATGCTTTCCCAATTCAGACGGACTAACCACGAACCAACGAACGGAGGTGTGGTATGTAACAGGCAACATATTGTCGCGACATGACCGGCCCATAAACTGTCACTGAAATTAAATATCACGTCAATCAAATTCTCATACATGATCGTGTGTCACGCGTTCGAACCCCAACTCGGCATAATTATACAACGCTAGTTCAAGAAAAGTACGAATTTTCTTTTACTGAACATGTGAGAGTTACCACCACTAGAGACACCACTTTCAGGTGGAATAGTGAACTCGCGCTAGAAAATTCGCTGCAATATAGTTGATAGAAAAAACCGGCAAAGTGCGAGTCGGACTCGCGCACGAAGGGTTCCGTATCATTAATCTATAAAAACAGCAAAAAAAAAATCGTCGCACTTAAATACTTTTTATTCTGTTTTATAAAATATGTTGTTATAGCGGCAACAATAACACATCATCTGTCAAAATTTGCACCAATGAACGTTAAAACTCCCACCAACATCAAATCAAAATCAGACCCGCACAGAAAATAACCTGCAATAACCTCTGCGGTCACATACATACATTTTATTTCTAAAGTTGTTGTAGCGCTATGAAACAACATCAGTATAATTTTAAAATTTTTTCATAGTTAAGTTGCAGTACTTAATGATTTATAGCCTATGTTTACATACATTTGTATCCAAAATATATAGAAAAGCAAATCTCGTCGTAAGGATGGTATTAAAATTCTGCTACATATGTAATACATAAGAAAAAATCTTAAAATGAAAGTTAATTTTATAAGTGTTTCAAAACTAATGTGTACATATTATCTACCTACATTGGTAGATGGTTATAAAAATTAACTAAATCTTTTAGTCTTAGCTATTTTTTACTAGCTATAAAAATATAAGTATAACTATTGACCGTCGACTCGGTTGTGCAGTTGCTACGCTGTTGAGTTCGCCGCCGAGAGTCGTGGGTTCGATTCCCACGCGTGACAAGTGCTTATGTGGCCCACAGAGGGGTCTTCAGGCTATGGGTGTGCAAGGATGGTGTATGTGAGACAAACAGCCGGTGGTAAAAAACCTAACCAATACCACTAATAACATGATTCACACCAGCCAAGGGGCAAGAGGATGATGATGAAATTAGTATACCATGAGTTTGTGAATATGTCTCCGTTATAGCTGCATCAAAAGACTGACTATATGAAAAGATTTTTACAAAGATTCTACGCTTTGAGGACAATTCCCCAAACAAAACGAGCCCCATATCGCCGTAAACCAAAGTTACCGTAACATTACCAGTTGTATAGAACCTAATTACGATGGTCGCGTAATTATGCGTCACAGAGCGTTCGCGTAAAAACCACACGGCGTATTCACCAGACGTATAAAGGCCTCTCAGGCTACTATCAGAGACTGATTCTGTGGCTTGGTTCGATTGTGAACACTCGCGAGCTGTTTCAATTGAAAACTTCGAAACAATGGTAAGTCACATAATTAATGTTATATTCAAAACAGTTTAATAGTAAATTAAAAATCTTTTGTGAAGTCAAAGTAGTTTTTATATTTATCTGCATCCAATAAAAATGTTTAAATTTATGGATAGGTAACGAGAAATATTGAACAGTTTTATACCATGTTTCAAGAGCCACTGCCATCTTTATTGTCTTATATTCTGTTTTCATTGTCTTATTTTACTTCCTTAATAACTTATGTTATTTTACTTAGCATTCTGTTTTTAATGAAGAAGTCTCAAATATGTATTTAAATATACACAAATAAAAAAGATTTACTGCTTTGAACAAGTATTAATTTTTTCGAATTGTGTCGAGGGCTATCGTAAGGCGATAGCCCTCGGTATCCTCTGAACAGAGGAGGCCTTTGGCCAGCAGTGGGACATATACATATGCTTTACTTTTAAGAGACAAAATACATAAAAAAACTTACAATAAAATTTGTTAATACAAATAGTATCTTATCCATTAAAAGATAAATTCTTGTATATATATATATATTATAATCGGAATCTCGGAAACGGCTCCAGCGATTTTCATGAAATTTAATATGTGCGTAGATTCGGGGGCGAAAAATCGATCTAGCTAGGTTTCATTTTTAGAAAATGTTCTTTTATCCCTGTTTTCAGGGAATGAAAAATATTGTTCGATAATGACAGTAAATTTCGCCGCAAAAAAAAATGTTTTAATAGCTCGGTCGGTAATGGGGCGGCCCCAAGACAGACGGCCGCGGTTCGTATCACGATCATTTACACCCTTTTTTTTTACTTTTTTTTCCTATACCAGAACCTTTTTTTATTTTTTATTTCCAAAATACATGATTTACAAAAAAAACCCGAGCAAAGCTCCAGGTACTACTCTATTTAATTTCGAAGATTACCCAATACAAACAAAAGAAAACAAGTTTTACCCATAGTTAATTATCATATAGCTGATATAGTAATATGGTTTCACCAATGACGAGAATATAAACATATTGAGCCTCACACATAACTGGCTCATAAGGTTTTATAGAGCCGTCGTACGAATTCAATACAACAAAGAATTATTTCACACTCCATTTTACCCCTGTTACGTAAGATAAACTGACAAGTTTTACGGTAAATATAAAGATAAAATGTGTGTTGTTTGCTTGAAACATAAATTAATTCAAGAACGATCATTATATATACCTAAACCAAACAACTAGACAGATAAAAGTCGTCATATTATTCAATTAAACATTGCTTTAATGTGTACAGCTCTAAATTCGACGCCTTTTATCGGCACATGCAGAATAATGCGAGACAAGCGCCATTGTGTGAAAATTAATGGCACAGGAGCGGTCACCATTAAAACGCACGAAACGTTACCCAACCTTATGTGTCTCCGTTATTCGCAGATAAGACATTTAAAAGGTATCCACTGACGTCACCTTTGCCATAAACTTGCCTACCTTGGCCCAGTCCACCCAACCCATGTTTACGAAACATAAACCCTGGTTTTCGGATGCGTCTCTTTTTAATTGGACCTTTTAAATTCACAAGCGTTATAACACATACTTATCGATTTATCCACTACGGCAAAATGGCTTTAAACAAGTTTATGAGTTTAAATTATCGAAAAATTTACTTATAAGATATTTAATTTCGATTTCAATGTCAGGTAAGTTTATTAGCCAATTTTAATATAAGTTAAAAGCCGTGATAGCTCTGTGTCCGGGCGCTCGCCTTTAATATACTCGAGCAACCCGAGTTCGATCCCTGGTGCCTCCCAGGCCTGCATATTTTGGAAATAATTCGAAGATATGTGAAGTTCGCCAATCAGCAGTTGGGCCACGTAGTGGACTACGTCCTAATATCCTCAGTACCTTTGTCCAGCAGTGTGATATGTATAGGCTGTTACTTTAATTTTACTACAAGTTATAAAACAAAAGTCATCATTCCTATTTTCTATGCCTTAATTTTGATTTATACTACAATAGGGTAGATAATTAGGGAAAACCACTTACATGTTTCAATAGTAAAACAGCAGTGAGTAAATCTACAATAAATACTCTATTTAACTACTTAACAAAGACGGACAATATTTACTCGTGTAAGAAAAAACGTTCTCAATGATGTTTTTTGTATCCGTCGAATAATATTAAGCTGATGGTTGTGGGATAATTTGAAACAATGGATACTTTGAGTGGTGTTCCGTACCGTGATCAGTTTTTTTTAAAGATATTAATTGACTCGAGGTCGATACACCATGTGAGTCATGTTTCATGCGCTATTTAATAAATCTGCAGCATATTTTTCGGACATATACTACGAAAACGTTTTTTTGCAATTCGGCATAAACTCCCAGACCATTTGTCTTCTATGATTTGTTATTGCTCTATTTATAATAAATTAATATACTATAATAAACTTTCAGACGTTTTTACAATAACCTTATTTCGAAAAACAAAGGAAGCGGAAAATTTGTAGGATAATACTTAAGTACTCTTAGTAGATGGTCTCGAGACATAAGGCATCTCGTCAAGGACATCTTACTTGCCTTGATTTCGAGTCAAATATATCATTCAGTTATTCCTTATTTTGAGATAATCAAATAGCAGTATGTAGCTCAGACATCGAGCTACAAATAGAACCTCATGTACTAGGCGCTATTTTTTTTTATTATTCATCAAGTTGTTGCTGTAGCGGCCGTCCCTCTCAATTCACTTATATTCAGTCGTCATTCTAAGCCATTAATACATTACAGAAATAATATACAATAAGCTTGGCCTTTGGGCTTACTCTTTGTATTGCTGCGAAACATACGGCTCCTTTCTGAATTTCTAATGACCTAATCTTTTTCATTAACAAACACAAAAGGGTACAAAAAAGGTTAAATAAACAGTCCAGTCTGTCTCGTGACTATATAAACGCCGTGGAACGTTCGAATCATCCCGAATTTAGAATTAAGGACGTTGTTACGTAAGGAGCAATCTGAAGTGGCAATGGACGTTGCCCGAATGGTCAGGCTCGTACGAGGAAGTACCACAGCATCACAAAACACTGCGTGAAATGGAAGTGTTACTCTTTCGCGTTCCGGTGAGTGAAGTAACCGAGGCCCACTTTTTTTATACATTGCACACGCATCGGCATGGCCTCGGATCATGTAAATATCCATGGGCGGCGGTATTACCTAACATCGGGTGAAACGCCTGCTCTCCTGGCAACTTTTCACTTAAAAAAAATCGTGTGTGTTTTAAACTACATAACTGAAGTAAATTTTCTTTAGCTCCATTTATATGCATGTATATGTATACATAAACATTTATATATGTATATATGTACTATATATACATGTATATACATATACTGGGTTGACTGGTAGAGAATGCCTTTGGGGGCATTAAGTCCGCCCTTTGTTACTTTTTTATTAAGGTTAGCAATAAAGCATAAATAAATAAATAAATACTTTATTACATATACATTACTAATTTATTAGGGGGTTTTCATTGATAAATAAATAAACAAGAAAACACTGTTAACGTTAGCAAACTCGCAAATGAACTACTAGCTGAGATATATATATTTCATGCACTGGCTATGAGAGAAAGGGAGAAAGAAAATGTGTGCTCGCACCTTTCTCTCTCTTGCCCCTACAGTAATATACGATACGTAACTCTCTCTCGTTCTATCTTCACTAACTTACATCTCCCTCTCAACTTCCCGCTGTTCTCGCTTTGCTCGACCCTTTTCGTAACGCATTCACCAGTTCACTCCCCAAGCCAAGCGTAAGAAGTTTTACTTCAAAAAACCCCTTCCCGCGTTTTCGCAGAACATAATCTTGCTGTCGTGCTTTCTGGCGGTGGGTGCCGCACAGCGCTTAACGGACTCCAGCGATGGCAGCGCTGCGCAGTCGCGCAGCACAGGCGGCTACGGCCTTCTGAGACCCGGGTACCCGAATTACTCGGGCTACGGCGGATATCCGGGTGGATACGAGAATTTCGGCGGGGGATACGGCGGCGGCTACGGAGGGGGGTACAGCCCGGGATTCGGCGGCGCCGGCACCGGTTACCCGGGGTCGGGATACCCGGGCAACTATCCAGGTGAGCATGTTCCTTAAATTTATCACGATACTCTGCGCTCAATATCACGCCAAGAATAAAATTATAAAGGGAAAGATGCATATGTTTACCTCCGAAAGTTTCCTCTCAATAAGTAAATTAGGGACCAAAAAATCAGTCTTACATAAAAAAGTGCCATTAACATCGACGGCAAAATGGAAATTTCCTAAAGGATGGTCTCCAAGCAAGTTGCCTTTATACTTACAAGATTCTTAAAATCATTTAAAAACGAGAGCGTTTATGTAAACAATTGTGACAGGGAATTAACCAGATGTATTCCTCTCAGAATGTAAAATAAAGCACTTGCGTGAACGTCATTAAATTTAATAAATGCTTGTAAATAGTTGTAGTCCTGTCCGCCTATCCACAGTGGGGTTGCGAGGTTGACCATGCATTTAAAGCCTCTTTATACAGGCCTTTGTCCAGCAGTGCGCCATTTATAGGTTGTCCAATTTACTTTTAGTGTAGTATATATATTTTAAGGAGCTGCATACATATTTTTTATATCACAATAACTATTTAATAAATATTATTTACGTGAGAAACGCGTCACTAGGAGGTTACGGCGGCTATCCAAGCTACGCCGGCGGCGCGTCCGGAGGTGTGTACCTATTACTTCTTCTCCTCAAAACACTGTTCGGTGACAGTAAGTGCACGCACATGGAATTTACGAAGCTCAGAGCACGCAACTACGCTTCAAATTAATATAACGACAATAGCTGCTTTGCGCAAAGCTTAACCGAGTCACATTTCGATTAATCTTTACGTAAAAATAAGTGTTAATTGAAAACATATGACATTTACGGATTTTAGCTTGTTTAACGGCTTCAAATAATACTAAAGCTCTGTGTCTAACAAGTATCGACATCGCAAAAATCAAGATACAATTGAAATTAACAATTAAACAAATTAATTTGTTTGGGAGTTTTAAATTAAACGCGATAAAATATGAGAAAATATATTGGTTTACCAACTTACAATTTTGGAGTGCAGTCACAAACTATACCCATCGGTACTGTTAGTGTTTTATGCCATAGAGATAACACTACGAGGCCGAAAGTAGCCGATTACCTTTTTCCAATAGTCTATTTGCAATATCTATCGCAGAGTACTGTAGAACAAGTATTTAATGGAGACCATTACCTTCTATAGGGAAGCGGAATAGCTCTTACAGGGCCTTTAACACCAGCTGATGTTCCTATGATGAGCTATATTAACAAGCATAATCACTCTCTATTTCATACATAACTTTTCCGTTTTATGATCTAACATCGAATAAATAAATAAATAACCAGTCAATCACCTACCATAAGCTCTCACCACCAATCATCCATCCATTGAGTCCGCCCTTTATTACCTGTTTTATTAAAGGTTGGCAATAAAGATTAAATAAATAAATAAAACAAAAATAATTGCAACCAATGTGGTCATTAAATACACTATCAAAAATCAAAGCACTTTAGCCCGAATGCACGTACTTTGTACTGCAAAGTTCAAATCAATCATCATCTCAAACAAATGTTTTAGCTAAATCATATAAAATAAAAGTCAACGTGTGCTATTTCCGTTTCAGGAAACCGTCCCAACTACAGACCCAGCTACGACAGTAGACCCGGTTACGACGGCAGGCCCGGGTACAACTATCCGGGAGCCGGATATCCAGGCTACAGGCCCGGTTACAGCCAGTACAGGCCCGGCTACGACAGGCCCTACCAGGGTTACAGCGGCTACTTTAGCGGCCTACGTGACGGATATGACAACATCGGCCTTACGGCGAGGAAAGTGGCTGAAGTGCAGAAGTCCGACGCATAGCCTTAGGAATGTATTAGACTTAAATATTTTAAGTTATTCTAATGTTGTATTTCGATTATAAGCTCTAAGTGTAATGTTTGTTTTACTTTTTACTGTAATACCACGCCCTTACAGAAGTACTATACTTTCGCTTCTCGTCCGGTGAGTGACTAATGCCCGTTTTCACAATCGATCCGAAACTTTAAGGGACACTTAAACTTTATTACCCTCTTTCAAAGGTTGGTAACACATCTGGAAACCTCAGGCATTTGAGATATCCATAATCACTTCAGACAACATCAGATTTCACCCGCTCGCTTGCCGAATTTTCACATAAAAGTGACAGAAGCTTATATTATGCTGGCTCTGCTATAATACAAAGGCTCCTGCTATGCGAATATCCGAGCGGTGGGAAGTTATGAGTAATCATACATCTAAGTTCCCGCCGGTGCTACTTTTACATTTCTACCGGTGTGGGAGGTAATCGGAGCTGCGCAAGTTAAGTTAACTTATTCTGACCCGTGACCATGAACGCTGGAAAGAGTTCGAAACGACGGGAATTTCAAAATCAAAATTAGAACGCGATAAAATCCGTAAACTAGTATCTATTTAAACGTATAATATTGGGGTAAAATCAAGAAGTTAAATACAATTAGGGTTGCCAACCATACTTTATAATAACGTATTCTACTTTATTTTTGGTAAATATACTTTATACTTTTGCATAAAAATAAAGTATGTGCAAATAGTCTATTTTCAATTTTTACTGCGATGCATAAAATAAAACACAATTTAGGTACGTTTATGGATAAAAACTGAACTTTTATCGATACTTCTAAGTTGAGACAGAACACTTTCAACATATAGGCTTTTGCTGTCAATCATATATTTTTTTTTATGTGAAAAGTTGCCAAAAGAGCAGACGGTTCACCTAATGTTAAGTGAATACCGCCGCCCATGGACATCTGCTACACCCGAGGGTTACAGATGTGTTGACAACCTTTTGAAAATTGGGCTCCGGCCACCTTACTCACCAGACGAAACGCGAAAGTATTTGTCATACTTCCACTTTACGCCGGTCTTCTGTGAGGTCGTGGTACTTACCCGGACGGGCCTGCCCATTCGTGCAACAGCCGAGGCTGCTGCGTGGCCCTACCACTGTAAAAATGATATGATTGAACAAAAACATTATCATCGTAAGAAAATTCTATCTTTTTTTTTTTCTTACATGATAATTTGTAAATGAATGAAAAACTAAATGAATAAAACTAAATGATAATAACTGAATGAACTTGTGTGCTAGAAGCATTCAAAAATAATGTATCTTCAGGAGAAATAAATAATATTTTCAAAAATACTTTAACGTTCTTCTATAAAAATGAGACGCTTTATTTTTCTCAAAAACAGTTGGCAACCCCAAGTAGAATACACGAGTTCATTTCGTACGTAGCTATTAATTAATTAGCCTAGGACCCGCTGAACCAGTCGGAGGTCATGGACGTGAAGAAGGAGGCGGCTCCGGACCTCGCGTTGGCGAAGTTGATCGGCAACGAGCTGGTCATTATGTCGGATATGTCACCTCTCGACTTGTTGGGGCTGGCGGCGGGGGCCGGCTTCTTCTTAACCTGGCGACATTGCACAATTATCAGTACCGTCTTTACCATAGGCACAAGGGGCCCATGGCATACGTATTGGCTTAAACTGTAATTAAATTTTCTCTCCACTTCTGGTAGACATATTCCGACAGAAGTTTATAGAGTAAAACAAAAAAATCCTTACTAATATTATAAAGGCGAAAGTTTGTATGTATGGATGGATGTTTGTTACTCTTTCACGCAAAAACTACTAAATACATTTTAATGAGACTTTACAATAATATAGCTTCTACATTAGAATAAGACATAGGCTATAATTTATATACATATTTTATGTTTATCTGTCTATCCGTCTGAATGTTACGCCTTCAGCCTATTCTACGCAGACGTAGTCGCGGGCAGCAGCTAGTATAATAGCAGAAAAATGTTTTCGTCGTTATCTTCTTTTACTTTCCATCGGGCCGCCATATTTTTGAGTGCCCTAGGGCCTCGATATGGCCTAAGACGGCATTGCCAATTATACTATACAATATCAAGACAGTACGTTGTAACTGTGGTAGGGCCACGCAACAGTCTTCGCACGAGGCAGGCTGGTCCGGGGAAGAACCTCACAGAAGACTTGAAGTGGAAGTGTTAAACTTTCGCGTTCCGTCTGGTGAGTAACCAATTTTCCAAAGGTTGTCAACGCATCAACAAGCCACCAAGCCGGGTTTTGATGTCCATGGGCGGCGATATTAATGAAACATCGGGTGAACCGCCTACTCGATTGAGAACTCTCTACAGAGATAAAAAACATCGACTAATTTTTGAGTTCTGACACAAACATCCGGAAACAAAAATTTTATATATATAGACTAGCTGAACTCATCCACGCTACGGCTACGTTGCGCTGTGGCTTTTTAGTTTCCATTGGAAATAGTTAGTAATGGAAAATATATTAAAAAAAACTCTCCAGTTCAAAAGCTAAGTTGTGAAACAGCAATGTTGTGAATAAAGTCGGATTGACTTTGTTTCATCAGATCAGCTAGTTTTTGAGTTTTGTCTACACAAACATAGGAAAAACGAAGCTAAAAAAAATTTATAAGTCAGGTTTATGATTAAGCGTTTCTTTCACTGGAGGCATGCGAAGAACTCGTAAACTTGACTCATGCGCATTAGTTTTGCACGACCTATATGCATGACCAGTAAGTAGTTATTAAAAACACTGCTATTCGTTCTTCAAATACGTTTAATCGTTACAAACGGACAATTAATGTATGGAAAAATTCATAAATCACTTTTTTGAAAAGAAGATATAAAGCGAGGTGAAAACGCAATTAATTAAAATTAGTAACAAAACATTAATTCAAACATTCCATCATACCCATTTGTTGATGATATGAAGAATTCGCTGTTCTGTTGAAATATTCCAAATAAGACACTTGGACATACGTAAAAGAGTTACGAACTAAATATATAAAATACTATAATTAAATATATGAATACTAGAGTTAAATATATAAAGTGTCAAACATTTGATTTAAATGTTTATATGAATATCTAATCATAGAAACACGTTTTTGTAGATTTTTACTTAAGAAATAACTAAAGTAATTGCAATTTATTCGACTTGTTGATAAGCGATCATAGTTATTTAAAGAACCACCACGTATTATATTCCCTAGAGGAAAGTATAAGTGAAAAATTCCTATGACGAAGGGACAAATGTCACTCACCGCCTTCTCTTGCTTCTTGACGCTAGAGGGCGCCGCTACGGGTAGGAGCGTGAACCAATGGGCGTCCGCCGTCGCCAGCAGGGTGGCAGCCTTGTCGCCGGTGCCACCTGACGTGACAGGCTTGGCGCCCACCACGCCCGTCAGCTGGCCGTGGTGCTGGACCAGACTGCCCAGCAGCGTCTACGATTAAAGGCGGAAAAATAATCTTCAATCGTACACAGTGTCTTAGGCACGCCTTTTTTTATGTGAAAGTTGTTAAGCGAGCAGGCGGTCCACCTGATGTTAAGTGTCACCGCCGCCCATGGACATCTGCTACACCCGAGGGTTTGCAGATGCGTTGACATTTTTAATCGGTGCTTATAACAGTGATGGTCACACACATCTAAAGTTCTTGATGGTCCTTTGCACAGTTTTATTTGCACAGCATTAATTTTAGAAAATGATATTCGAAAGAGGCATTAATGGTCACACACATCTAAAGTTCTTGATGATCCTTTACACATTTTCAAAATGTTATTCGAATGAGGCATTAATGAAATGTAGACTACCAACAAACGTCTACGATAAAATATCGGATTATTTATTTTCAAACAAACATTGTCTTAAACGCAGCACTGTGCTATAAAGCAAAGTAATAGTTACAAACATGTAAAGCTTTTGTATGATCCTTTGCTTGCACAGTTATAAAATGATACCACACGGCATTAATGAAATGAATATGGTATAAACAAGTAGTTAAAGCAAAATTACAAAAGCAAGGTGCTTGTATCCGTATTTGTTTTTGATATACTCAAAACTGTGTAACAAAAGGAAATGTTTTCGACACAAAAGAGCGTGCAGAAAGAGAAAATAGATATTGTCAGTTGTTAAGGGTCCCGTTGTTACTTACTACGGTACGGTAGTTACCTTTAACGGTGGTAGTGCCACGCAGCAGCCTCGGCTGTTGCACGAATGGGCAGGCTCGTCCGGATAAGTACCACGAACTCACAGAAGACCGGCGTGAAGTGGACGCATAATACTTTCGCGTTTCGTTTGGTGAGTGAGATAGCCGGAGCCCAATTTTCAAAAGTTGTCAGCGCATCTGCAAACCCTTGGCTGTAGCAGATGTCCATGGGCGGTGGTTCACTTAACGCCAGTTGAACCACCTGCTTGCTTGGAAACTTTTCACATAAAAACAAAAATAAAGCAGAATCCCAAAGGCAACTTTTCACTTAAAATAAAGCAAAATATCCACGCGCCTGCACCCTTTGCACGGATCGCTTCAGATTGGTCTGTATGTACGGGTAGAAGACGTCGTAGTCGAAGGGGTCTATCTTCTGCCTCAGCACCTCGCATATCTCCTGCGAGCGTTCTATAGTGGACTTGTTCTCGCGCGGCACCATCAGCAGCGTGGCGTGCCTCACGTCCATCAGCAGTTGGAGCGCGCACCGCTGATTTATCTCCGTCTCGCTCTCCCTCGCGGCGGTGCTGTAGTGCGCGAGCGTGACGGACGCTATCCGCTGTACGAATTCCGAGTGCACTTCGTGGGGCAGAGTGTGCGGCACGACCTCGTCTAGAAGACGGGCGACCGAGTACAGGAACTCCTGCAGTTTGAGCGAGGGCCCGGCCGGAACCTTTATGCTGGATTCGACCGAGTTGCCCTCATCGCCCCTCTCTTGGATCTGTATCACGTCCCACTGCTGTCGAAGTTAAGAACGAGTCGATTATAACCATATAGTAATAACAAACACAAGGTTCAGGTATTCGTAGACGTTCAAGGTTTTCTCCTCTGTTTTTTAAAAACTCATGACCTCTACACCAAAACGATATCTTATACATAGACACATTACACAAATTATAAACAGACATTCAGATCGAAGCAGTTATTCATGGGCACGTTAAAACTCATAGAGCCGTGGTAGCTCAGTGTACGGGCGCTTGCCTTTAATTACATTTACCCGAGCAACCTGAGCTCGATCCCCGGTGCCAGCAACATTGATATTGTTGATTTTAAGTGCTGAATTATCACGCGCTCAGCGGTGAAGGAAAACATCGTGAGGAAACCTGCATATTTACGAAATAATAATAAAAAAAAATATTTCGAAAATATGTGAAATCTGCCAATCCGCATTGGGGTCGCGTGGTGGACTATGCCCTGATACCCTCTTTACAGAGGCGGCCTTTGCCCAGCAGTGGGACATTCATAGGCTGTTACTTCACTTTTTTACGTTAATACTCGCGCGCCAGAACCGAGTAGACTCGGCACCCGGCCCAACTTACCATCATCAGATAGTCCACGTTCGCCTCCAGGGTGAACTTCTGGGGCAGCTGCTGAACTAAGCCCATCACCTTCTCCATCACAATGTCCAGCCACTTGCCCCAGCAGTGCAAGCAACAGCTCTTTAGCACTTCGCACGCGTCGTTCCAGCTCCTCACCGCGCCCTCTTCTATCGCCTCGTCCGCGTACCGGTCATCGGGAATGTAGCACTTGCGCAGACTGGGCATAAGGTGGGTAATCGCTTGCGCGAAACGCGCCGTGTAAACGGCCGTGGTCTTGCGCTGGAGTTCCGTTGATTGCAGGGTCGGCTCCTCGAAGCACGCCTTTATGTATTGCAACATGCTAGAATGCGAAATATCCCGTCTAATAATGTATGAAACATGATTCATTATTGTATCATATTGTATTACAATCCACAGGTAAAAGTAAAAGTGTAATAGGCTATGAATGTCCCACTTCTGGGACATGTATGAGTATAGGTAAGTAACCTGGTTGTTGCGCCAGTTTCCAGTAGTGGGAATCAAAGTCATGTTGGGTTTGATCCCCACTACAGGAAAAATACTGTGTGATGAACATAGTGTTTTTTCATTTTATAAATATGTTTAACTATGTTTATCAGTTATCTAGTACCCAGAGTAAAAGCAGAGAATGTTGTGTAAAAATGTGTCTTAAATATTTATTCATTTATTATTTGTTCGTAAAAATTAGGAAACCAACATCGGCCTTTGCGCATAACCTTTGAATATTTCTATCAGAAACGCTCCTCAAGTAATGCTCGATGTCGGCTCTGTCGCTGTAGACCTGTTGATTCTCTTCCTCCTCCTCGTAGGAGAACATCAGCCTGTTGCTGCCGCCTTGCCTCTTGTCCTGGTAGAGGTACACCTTCAGGTCCTCGAGAAGCCTCTGCAGCTCGTCATCCAGACCCTGACAGAGTTTCTCCAAGTTCGGCGTCAGGCCACGGTCCTGTCTGGACATGGCTGTAATGAATGTCGACCTCGCATTCCTTTTTCGTGCAATAACACAATACAATTTTTTTAAGATTCCGTGAAACGGGACCCTATTACTAAGACTCTGCTGTCTGTCTGTCCACCTGTCACCAGGCTGGGTCTCATAAACCGTGATAGTTAGACAGATGATTTTTTCACAGATGATGAATTTCTTTTGCCGCTATAACAACAAATACTAAAAAACAGAACAAAAAAAATTATGTGGGGTTCCAATACAACAGACATACCTTTTTTTGCCCTTTTTATAGATACTGTGACGGAACCCTCCGTGCGCGAGTCTGTCTCGCACTTGGCCGGTTATTTTTATGCGGGAAGGAGGCAAGGGAGCCGGCGGTTCACCTGATGTTAAGTGATAACCGCGCCCATGGACATTTGCAACACCCAATGCCACTTATTAATAAAGTGGACTCCGACTACCTCACTCACCAGACGAAACGCAGAGTATAACACTTCCACTTCACGCCGGTCTTCTGTGAAGTCGTGGTAATTACCCGGACGGACCTGTCCATTCGTGCAACAGCCGAAGCTGTTGCGAGGCCGTACCTAAGTTAGGGTACCTGCTGATGAAATTAAGTATAGAGGGGAACATAAGTGCATGAAGTATACAGCCTATCTTTACAATCGCGACGATAAATAAACACACATATAGAGGATACATTTTTTAAATTGTATTAAACATTTACATACTTTAAACATCAATATTTACCGAGTTATTAAATTTTCCAAAACAACGAATTTTGGTATACTCGTACGTATAAAACTGTAACGTAAAGTTCATTTGTAAAGGTCACAAAGCTTAGGAATGGGTTGAATGAATTTGAAAGAGACAAAACATACTGTTAGAAATGGGTACGGTATGTAATTTTGTACTGTTAGAAAGAGATGCTTGTAATGCGACGCTGTGGCAACGAATGAAAGTCTCTGAATGTATGAATCAGTCAGTTGTAGTTGCATAGGATGTTAGAAACATATAGAAAAAGTACGAAAAGATTGTCGCCTCTGTGGGAATCGAACCCACGTCTTCGGCATTCGCGGCCTGACGCTCCAGCCACTGAGCGCTTCACGGCCGCTTTCACTTCGCTAAACGGCCGCGAATGCCGAAGACGTGGGTTCGATTCCCACAGAGGCGACAATCTTTTCGTACTTTTTCTACATGTTTTAATGTTCAATCTTAAGTGCAGAGATTAGCACTATAAAAAAACTTTAAAATGTATAGATTAGATATATTACAAATTTGTTTCTTTTTTACTTAATTAGTTTGTTTGAAATTTTTTTTTTAATTATGGATTTTTAACGTTAATATTTTTATGTTTATTGGCAAGTAGCGTTAGACGTGTGTACATTTATTGTCGCGATTGTAAAGACACGCTGTATATGGTGTGGTTACAAGATTGCAATAGATATCAAGCGATCATAATCATCAATAAATCAATCATATATTAATGATGTATAATCACACTCGTATGTCATGCAGAGTTACCTTAGTTTGTTTTACTGAATTATTAAATACTGAAATAATGAATAATTAAAAGTGCGTAAGAAGAAGAGACAGTCTTCATTGGCGTATTCAGTGAAAAAAAAATAAAAGGAAAGAAGAAGTAGACTGAAAATAAAAACGCAATTTCATTACTGATGCAACAATGACACTTTCAACATTATACCATTTATATAATATAATGCATTATACAACGGGTCATTACGAAAGGGACTTATATGGTAGCCATATCCCACCTTATCATCTTACAATAAATTTAGAAAATATGATTACTTAAAAAAATGATAAGAACTCGGAATACCTTTCATCAGTGAATTCATGACATTTATAACTTCATCTCTTGACTCAATAACTGTATCACCGATGAGATCCTTCCAGACGAACCAGTTGATGTCAGCCTCTTTCTCCAACTCAGACTCCGATGACACTCTGGTCAGGTCCACTAGAATCTGAGTTTTGAATGCATCATACACTTTCAGCCAGCGGTTGTCAATAATAAGTTTAACTCTGGCTGTAAGCAGGGGTTGGAAGTAGTGACACCAAACATGCACTTCTGGTATAGCTAGGGAACTGCAAACAGCACTCCAATTTGATGGAGTTTCTGTAAATGAAACAAATAAATGTAATTGACACAATAATTAATACAGAATAAATCTGCATATGTGAATTTCATTGCAATTCATGTGCTTTAAAAATTAAAATGAACAAAATGATTAGTTAGCATTTTTATGAAAGGTAGAAATCTTTTTTTCAATTTTTTTTTTTAGTTATTTTAGCATTATCACAAAGTAGTCTTCAAAATAATAATGTTCCTTTTGTTATTACCTATTTTAAATGCTTCTTCTCGAATCTCATGCAGCACTTTCACTCTTGTTACGTTTTGGAGAAGCGCCTCAACACTACTTTCTATATATGACTTTACCCATACACTCCACTCTTGAACCGATTTTGATATATCCTCTTTTGCTAATGCCCGCAATTCTTTGTTAATGGACAACCTGTGTAGGATTTCAAGTTTTAAGGATGTCAAAGGTATTTTTACATCAGAGTAATTAGGAAACCAGCAATTTGACAGTACTAGAATTACAAGTGCATCTGAGAAAGTTGGCTTAGTGAGCTGATCATCGAACACCGAAGAATAAATACTTCTCCTACAAAGCTGTAGTCTGTGAAACCTTGGTACTTCCTTAGTAGAGAATAAATTCACAAAATAGGAGAGATGTGCTTGTGATATATAGGCTGCAATGCCACTTAACATCAGTAAAGTGCAGGCCAGTTTTGGATTAAAAAATATAAAGCAGCTGGGTGTTTTAGCTCTATAATACCAACAAAACTGTGAAATATTGATTTTAAAGTAATTAAGCACAACAACCCACCTGTAGTTTGACACAGCAGGGGGTAGTAGTTTCAACGAGATTGGATCACTAAAGTTGACTAAGTCTAATAAAGGTTTAGAATCATTCTTGTACAAGTCTTTCAGCATCTCTAATACCCCACCTCCCTCATTATCTAAAAAACAAAAAGAAGCAAGAAGGAGGATAATTTAAATTGTAATGAATTTCATAAAAAAAATCACACATTTCATCATAGTACAAACATTAGAATTGCTTACATGATGTAAGCAATTCTAATGTACTATCTTCAAAAACAAAATTATTCAATTAAGTAATGCTACACTATATAATCTACAAGGGTGTCTGTTAAAATAAATCAGGGAAAATTCTTAAAATATTCCACAAACACTAATTTTTCCATTGTAATTTCCTTAAAAAAAATTCAAACTACTTACTCACAAAGCAAGCATACACTAAAACAACTGTTTTCAACACAATTTTTACTCCATTAACTATCTTTTTCTTTATCTGTGCTTTCACATCTCCATCCAATATCTGTGCTAAGTCAAATTGTAGAGTTGATTTAAGACTGGTGTCACTGTGTAAGCCAATGAGGGTGTTTAAAAGTTCCACCATGGTTTGTGAGTCCAGAAGGTATAGACTCACTAGGCAAGAGCATGCAACCTACAAATAAACATTTTTTTAGAAAACATAACTAGGTATCTAAGATTACCTAAATGGTGGTTGGTGGTGTGGTGGTATCAATAATTGAATAAAATATTATTGTTTTTATTTTTATCTTGGTAGATATATTATATACATATAAGTTAACAAACAAAGAATTAAACAAATTATTTAGTGATAGATCATTTAACCAATATTAAAAATAGAAATAAACTGACTTGATCCCATTAAAAAGAATGCTGCAAAGTAAATAAAATTTTGGGAATTTAAGTTTAAAATAAACACATTTATTGCATACATTTTAAATATTCATTAAAATACTAACATTTACTTGTTGTAAATTTTTGCAAAAAAAATCATATGAATAATCACCTGAACATTTATATCAACATCCTGCAGTTTCTGACGGCATTCATTTATGATAGTCTGGTTAAAGTTGGAAATGGAGATCCACTGCTGTTGGACAACTCTGTATAGTGATTGCATGCCTGGATTAGCATTTTTCCCACCAATTTGCAACTGAAGCCCTGTAATATTTCACAAGAAAATTTCTTTTATACAAAAAAAATATATTTAGCTGTTAAACAATCTTTTGGATGTATAATCACAGCGTAACATCAGATTACAAGCCAGTTTGTAAGTATTAATTAAACAAATCAAAAAATTTAATATTGAAACATAAATTTACCTGTATTAATGTGACGGGCCAAAATAAACAACTGCGATGCTGTGACAAAGTCATCTGTTTCAATACACTTCCATATTTTCTCTGGTATTTCCATAAGTAGTTTAATTTGAACTGCAATGCCTTGTGCTAGATTGGTATTAAATTGATCACTTGGGAAAAAACAGAACATTTAATGCAAATCATTGAATAAAATTACTAATATTTAATGCTACACATTGATTTTAAATGACAATGACAGATGGACAAAGTATAAACATGGGCAAAATTATAAAACTCAAAGTATGAGAACAACATTTACCGCTCAAATGTCTGAGGTTCTTGAACTTTAAATCCAATTAAATGGGTGTTATGCAAATTTTTGCATGCTAACATCATCTCATTTATATGATCCAAAGTGCTTCCCGTTGTAACCTTCATTTCTTCTATCGTGTCTGCAGCTTGAATTAAGTCCCTATACCTTTCTCTGAAAATAAACAAGGAAACAAACAAACTTGCTTATAATAATATAATTATATAAACCTAGCTAAAGAGAATAATAACATATCTATTTTAATTGAAAAACGACCAAAATTTGTAATGTTAATTACATACCCAACCATCGCACGAAGCTCTTCTCTTTTTCGTTCAATTTCATACTGTAGTTTCTTCTGAACTTGGTCAATTTCTGTTATGGAGTATTTTTGAAATAACTCCTCCGGTACTATGTCAAGCAAATTGGGCTGCGACATTACCAAGAATTATTTAGAAGCTTTACAAAAATAAACATCGGTAAAATCGCCGAGTCAACAATTTTACGTCAATTCTGGTCAATCCCATAAGTCAATGTCTTTTTTTTTTTTTTTATTAAAGATTTTATGGCCTGGTAACAAGACCTTTAAGCCAAGTCTTATTTTCGAACACTAATTTTCTCATTTTTGTATTATTTTGTATATTTTTACGTGTTCATTGATTTTATTTAGTTATTTAAATTGTCCCCACAGTATTTTTAACGTATTTATATAATGCATTATAACACTTTTTGTTTTTGAGCAAATCACACAAGTGGCGGCGGGAGGTATCACTAACTTCTATTATTTCACTTGCCAATATTAGTCTATGAAAAACGAACGTTTTGTTTGGACATTTGAAGAAAATATGATTCATGTCAGCTATCCCATCATTACAGAAAATGCAAATATTGCTTTTTATTATATTGAGTCTTGCGAGGTGTGCAGGTGCAGTGTTATGGCCAAATCGTAATCTGTTGATTGTGGTGACGAATTCACGGCTAGCTATTTCCAGCTCATCATACCAAGGTCTTCTCGGTAAATTCTCTTGGATACTTCCATACCATTTTCCTTTAAATTTTTGATCCTCCTTCCAGAAGTTTAGCCAAATTTTTTAATGAAATATTTACATCGGAATAATAATCGATCATAGGAACATGCACCACATTTCTAACGTCAATAGCATTGACCCCTTCATATGCAGTTTTGTCTGCAATTTCATTACCAGAAATACCTTTGTGTGCGGGAACCCACATAAAGGCAATTGTTATCCCCTTTTTATGTAATCGAAATACAATATCTTTAATGAAATAAATTATGAAATTTGTTTTAATATTAAGACTTACATGTCTTAGACTGTTTATAAGACTCAAAGAGTCTGTTAAAATTAGAAAATATTTACAATTAATTACACAACTAATTGATTTTAAAGCTTCAAAAACTGCATATGCCTCTGCTGTAAAAATGGAGCACTGTTTATCTAGAGCAAAGCTTTGAGCAACATCTTTTGGGGATCATATACTGCACTTCTCACGTAATCATTACCTTTACTGCCATCAGTGTAGATTATATAATACTTCTTGTTTTCTTCTAAGAATGCTAGAAAGTCTGAATTGTTATCAATTGAATTTGATAGAATCATAATAGGATGTGTAATACTATTATAAGAATGAGTGTAACATGGCCAGTGAGAATGTTTTTTGATATTTGAATAATGAGATTGTATTTCTAAGAAAATCCGGCACAAAGTTGGAGTTGTACCTGTCAGAAGATCTTTAGATGAAGTCAATGGACCATCTATGTTAATGAAGTGAGGTATGATTCTATTTATAATTTGCAAATTATTTGATGATAATAGTTTCAGACAGTATCTTTCTGCAAGCATAAGTCTTCTCAAAATCAAAGGCATAATATTTGTTTCAACTTCCATGGCCCTTATGGGAGTCGAACACATTGCCCCTGATATGATCCTCAAGCCTTGTTCTGTAATACATCTAATTTATGAGTATGAGTGCTATTTAAATAACCCAAAGAACTGTAATCAAAATGGCTTCGTATTACAGATTTATATAGCACTGAAAGTATTTTGGGGTCTGCACCCCATGTAACACCTGCTAGACATCTTAAAATGTTAACACCGTTTAATGCATTCCTAGATACATATTTTATATGTTCTTCAAATGACAACTTCTGGTCAATGATAACACCCAAGAATTTGTGTACAGCTACTCGTTGAATAACATTACCATTATAAACAACATCAATTAATGGCTTATCTTTTCCAAATATCATGACACTACTTTTGGCAGAATTTATATTTAAATTTAATCTGTTCTGATAATAATTACTCAACTGTCTTAAACCAGTGTTAACATTTTCAATGGCTACTATTAAATTCACATCTGAACTGTATAAAACTAAATCATCTGCAAACTGTAGTATATTTACATTTTTTAGTATTTACATATTTACATATCTCACAAGTATACAAGTTATATAACAAGGGCGACAATGTTGCACCTTGTATGGTGCCCTTTGACACATTTCTAGGTCCATGCAAGGTATTGTTGTGCTTTACATATAATATTCTATTATTAAGGAAATCATATATCCATTTACATAATTGGCCAGGTACACCAGCGTTGCTCAGTACCTTCACCAGTATGCCAGGATTCACACTATCAAATGCACTTTGCACATCCAGAAATATACAAACTGTGTGTAATTTTTATTGTGTTTTGCATTTTTCAGGTCATTTATGAGGGAAATGAAGCTGTCAGTACAACTTCTTCCTCTACGAAATCCATATTGAACATGAGGGATCACACTATTAGATTCTGCATACCAGTCAAGGCGTGACTTTATCATGTTTTCAAATATCTTTCCAAGACATGACGATAGCGAGATTGGTCGATAAGAACTAGCCAGTTCAGGTGATTTATCTGGTTTAAGTATAGGTATTACACATTGAGTTTTCCATGAATTTGGTATTATTTTTTTATGCCAGAGACTATTAAGAATGTTCAAAAATAACTTTTGTATAGATTCAGGTAGATGTTTTATCAGTAAATATGGAAAATCATCTAAACCAGGACTAGTATTTTTTCTAGATTGTATACTCATCAAAAATTCATTCCATGAAAAAGAATCCAGTAAAAATCTTGAATGAGGATTTTCATTGTTATTATTAAAAAAATTGTCTAATGATTTTGGATCAACTAAATTGGTGTTATCTGATAGCTTGTGTAAAAGCGGTTGTACAAATTCATCCTTATATGACTTATTACCCATTCTCATACCCTTAAACTTTTAATGAGTTTCCAGATTTCACTAATGGGAGTATTTCTATTGAAACTGTTACAAAAACTATTCCAACTGATTCTTTTTTGCTCTTTTATGGTGCGCTTTTTTAAAGCATCCAATCTTTTATAGTTGATGTAATTATGTATTGTTGGATCACTTCTGTAATGTTTCAGTGCATCATAAGATTTAATAACGGCTTGTTCACATATACTGTTCCACCAGGGGGCTGGTGGTCTACTTCTAAAGTTAGTCCTAGTGAATCTAGGAACTATCATTCTTTTAAGTGTATCAAGTCGGTTACAAAATTCCTCATAGGATTTCATTGGATTCTCTTCGCTAACCATCATGTCATGGAACACTGAATTAGAGAATTCTCTATATTTAGTCCAATCTGTTTTGTTGTATAAAAATTTGTCACTATTTTTATTGATTGAGTATCTTTCAATGCACATTGTAATGCTTGTGATGGTTGGATAATGGTAACTGCCCATAGCATCGTCATGCACAGACCATTCACAAATTGGGGCCAACTGTGGACTAACAAAACTTACATCTATTGCTGAGGGATTGCGTGTAGGATAATTTACTGTAGTGAAGCTGCCATTATTTAAAATGCATAAATCATATTCATCGATAATGTCATACAAGCTTTGACCACGACTTTTTGTAGACAGACATCCAAAAGCAATATGATGTGCATTGAAATCACCACTTATGAAAAGAGGTTTTGGTAAATCTCTTATAATATTGCGCAATCTATTAATTCTTATGTGCTTATTGGAGGGAGGACAGTACACACAAAGAATAGATAAAGTTGTATTTTTTTTGTATTTATACTTATAGCTATTGTTTGTATATCTTCATAAAAAGTAGTATTTATAATATTGTGTTTCAAATATGGTTTAATTAATATTCCTACACCATTACGCGGATTTTTCGAACTTTTACTGTAAAAATTATAGCCTGTAATATTAAAGGATTGATGATCTTGTAACCATGTCTCATTTAGTAGACAAATATCAATATTTTTTTCATTTAAGAATTTTGTAAGAAGAGGTTTTTTGTGATTTGCACCTTGAATATTAAATTGCGCAATATGTAAAGAAGGTTTTTTATATAGTTGTGTATCCATCATGTTGCCAGATTTTTAATCAGTATATCTTTAATTAATGTTGTAGTGATAGGTTCATTATCATTTTTGTTGCCTATTTGGACCAGTGTGTGTACAAGGGCCATAAGTACATCACTGTTCCCAATAATTTGTGATTTAATATCATCATTATTTACAGTTTGTGAGACTTGTTTAATATTTACAAATTTATTTACATGTTTAGGTGCTTTATTTACAGTATTTACATTTTTATTTACAGGTAAGGTGTGTGATGGTAGAGGAGGGAAGTCTGTATTCTCTTTTGTAGTGGCAATGCTTGCATATGTAATTTTATTTTCTTTTCTAATATTTTCTTTATTTTAATGGGACATAATTTCGAAATAGCCAAATGAGGTCCGCTGCAATTAATGCAGCAAACCTCATCTGGTTTACTGCATTCTTTATAAGAATGTTCACCTGAACAAATAGAGCAACGCTGTTTGCCATTACATATCTTTGCAGAATGATTAAATTTAAAGCATTTGTAGCATTGTTGCAGAGGAGAAACATATTCAAAAACTCTGTATGAAAATAAATCGTACTGTACACTCTCGGGTAATGAGTTCGTCAAAAATGTAATGCTTACAGTTTGTGTTCCTAACAATTCGTGACCAACTTTTTTTATAAACCTCCTAACAGCAATAATTTCATATGTAGAAGTCAATTTAGTGAATAATTCTTTATTTGAGATATTTGCAGGTACAAATCTGATGATACCAGTTTTTTCAATTTGAGCTGCTGGAATATATGCTTTCATTTCATGTTTTTCAAGAAAGTTGATGTTGTTTATAAAATTATTAGCCGTATTGTGCTGTTTAAAAATGACAACAATTTTATTTGCGTTAATACGCCTTATTGCCACCACACCTTTAATATTCCCAAATATATGATTTAAGTATATCGGGCTTTTATTTCCCAGTCTTTCCTGTATGTTTTTGCTTTCAATATAAACTTTAAATTCTGTGTTAGTTGCATTTTCTGGGTATAGTCTTTTATAATTGGGTTTGCG